ACCCCCCCCCCCCCCCTGCTCCACCTTTCCTCCTCTCTGGTTCAGCCCTTCAGAGAGCAGACAGCAACCCCTCTCCCCATCGCTTCCTTTTTCCTTATTCTCGCTTCTCTTCCTCCTGACTTTCTTTTCCTATCTCTCGGTTCCTTCCAGTCGCTGACAGCGTCTCCACTCTACCCTCCTGATTTATGTTGCCTCCCTGGAACGAGCCTTGCTACCCTTATGCAGCATTGAAAATCCAGTTATGCCTTCGACACTGGGCTGTCACCATTCATGGCCCTACCTCCGCCAGATATTATACATGTCAATGCAACTTTCTAGCAACACCTGAGCCCAGTCGCTGTGCCTGCCTCACTTCTACCTTCCAGAGCCGCGCATTAGGGCTTCCTGGAATTATTGTGCATTATATGGCTTGTTTTTCTTTTGTTTTCTCTTTCTTTCCCAATCCCCCTTACAGTATTAATTTCCTGTGATGACCATTTCACTGTTCTTCTCTGCATGATTAATGCATGTAAGTCTGATACTTTTTAAAAATAAAGGAATTTTCTTTAAAAAAGAAATATAAAGGAACAAAAAGTCTAAAAAAAGAAAAAGAAAACATATGTAGTATATAAAATTTTTGTGTTTGAGTTTAGATACACTTTAAATATGTTTTTAACAATTACATTACAGAATTACATTGGTGTCTGTTTTATCTTCCTACACTTACACTTTAAATGAGAACACATCTGGCCACAGATCATAAATAACAAGGCTGAGACACTTGTGCCACTCTTGCAGCATACTATGAGGGCTCTAGTGTAAACACATTCACTGTAGAATGGCACCTTGTGGTGACACATTAGAGTTTTTATGAGGTCTTCTAATCCCATATGTTACTGTAATGGACATTATACCCTGCAGGCAGAAAATCATCAATGCTAAAACTGTCATAAGGTAACACAACCGATGTGTGGTGATTCACCTGCAGATAAAAAGAAAGTACTAAACTCTCTCTCTCAATGAAGCATTGTAAAAGTTATCTGCTAGCTTACAGAACCACAAACATGTCTATTTAAGCTGGACATACACTGGTAGATTTTCGTACGAACATTCATATAAAATTTTTTGTCAGAACATTTAAAAATGCCATCAGAAGCGTGACAAATGTCGTGAGAAATTTTGTTTGATTTTTTAATTTATTTTTAAATAAATGGCTGACGGAAAACCACATTCACATTAGAATTTTGTTCAATCGACAAAAATATTCCATCCTGCACTTTTGATTTTTTTCCATCACTGTGGTCTAAATCGATTGTTGAATCGGCCCCATTAACAATTAGAAAATTTAAAATATGTTAATGTTCTGAAAAGAAAATGTAAAGATTCTGAGAGGAATTTATCAAAACTGGAACAGACACAATCTGGAGCAGCTGTGCATGGCAACCAATCAGCTTCTCTCTTCAGTTTGTTCAGTTAAGAGTTGAAAATGAAAGAGAGAAGCTGATTGGTTGCCATGCACAGCTGCTCCAGATTTTGTCTGCTCCAGTTTTCATAAATTCCCGTCACTGTGTTCTTATCTGCACAGTTCATGAGATCGTGGGAACATGACTGTGAATTTTTATCATACAAAACATAATGCAGCTGTACGAACTAAATAAACGACACAAAATAACATTTAGTCAAAAGCTAAAGACCTGAAGACTGCCCAAAAATAGCACTGTTGGGGAATCATATGTTCATTGTCTAATATAAAAGCAACAATCACAGAATAATGTAATGAGTACACTTTGTGTTTTCATCAGGCCACGTACAGTACATGCTGCACTGAATGTTGTAACCTCAGCCCAAACTCAGGCTGCATTCACAACAAACTGACCACAAGAGGACATGGAAGATCTCCATTGTGATTGCATCTGTCTGTGCACACTGACAGCATGCCAAATACAGCACCTTAGATACTGCAAGTATGTCCTATGACTGTATAGTAGAAAGCAACAACCTTGGTAGAAACATCCATCACTGGCAATTGGCATCCTGTCGAGTATAAGAATGTACGCAAATGAAAATAGTAAAGTAGCTTTAATAATCCTCAATTTCTTTGCACCCATCCCAAAAAAATGAGATTCACTGCACCACTGAAATCATCTTCTCCCATCAAATCCCTGGAATTCATAACAATAGTAATAGACACTCATTAGGAATTTCTCCAGTCTGTGCAACAAATGGTGCAACTTGTGGCAGATTTATGTAACCATCTGTAATGTATAAATTAATCTGTTGCAGAAGGTTGTCTGTCACACAATGCTTACACATGCGGCACAATTTACTCTAAAATGGAAGAAGTCCTATTTACCTCCACTTTTCCCATCTCTGATATGATAGTATTTGTTCATGAATTTGATGAAGCCATAGCACCAACATGTAAAAGTGTCGCACAAAGGAACTACCCTGTAATTGGTTGCAAGCATTGTAAATAGCAAGAAAATATCACATGGCATTTTATGGATTTGGTGCAGTACTTTCTAACATGGCCAAAAACACCAGAAAAGTGTGGTATAGGGCTGCAACCAACAAATTGATTAATCAATAATAATCGATAATAAGAATAGTTGTCAACTATTCTCATTATTGATTAGTTGGTTGGATGCCCCATCTCTCTCCTCCATGCTGGGAGGAGGGAACAGCAAGCAATAGGCGGGTGCAATAGCCAGCCTGCAATTGGCTATTGCAATTTGAAATGGCCAATAGCAGGCTGGTTATTGCACCAGCCCACTACCTGCTGTATTTACATTCAGCTGCCATCTGCAGAATCTTGCCACTGGCAGCTGTCATTTCCTGGCCGAAGCTATTCAAGCACCATGTGTTTACAATGCAATTATACAAAAATTAGAAAGGGTGGGGAAAAGTCATTTTCTGTTTCGGCCTGACAAATTCTGCTGCAGGAGGTGCATTGCAGTGCCATTCATTTCATGAATGGCACTGCAATTTCATGAATGGCACCCGAAACACGCCTCCCACCCACAGTGCGATTGCCCGCACTGGAACAGTACCGCAATGCCGTGCTTTCCAGTGCAGTGCGATTGCAAACAAAATTTGCATGTTTACTCTGAAGTAAACGTTATGTTTGTAACACTGCATTTGTGTATTTTATGTTAAATTAAGGATGGTATTTATTACATTTTCTTATGCGATTAATCAAAAAAATAAATCGGCCATCTGATTATGAAAATAATCATTAGTTGCAGCCCTAGTGTGGCAAATGCTTTATTGAATCTCCCCCAGGTTGTTTAAATATCTTGTAATGTCCTAGATCTCAGAAATGTAATATTCCAGCGGTAATGAGTGGCCAATAACTTATAACTAAATGTTGCCAAGTTTCTACGACTGCTTCCCAAACACTGCCTCTTACATCGCACATTTTTATACTCAAGGAACAGGCCTGAAAAGTGCTGGATGGGATCTGAAACCCTAATGGTGTCTGCAGACATTAACATCTTTCCGATTGCCTTGACCCAACCGTTCTACAAATGTAACATGCCAAGTTCTAAGAAAGCAGGCTGCTGCTCACAATATGCATAACACATCTCTATAATATATCTTTATTTTAAATCCACTGTTTTAACAACCTTTACAAATCCCTTTTTGTGTTTGTTACAGTTTCCTTTTACAGTTTAAACCTTAATCCACCCAACAGCCTCTCTGGAGGATTTCTGAATCACTGCAGATTAAAATCCTCTTTGCCTCTTCACTAATGCTTTTGTTTAATAATTCTACTTGTAAGAGATTTCATTTGGGAAATAGAAGAAACCATTCTGTATTAGAACCTCTAGTTCTATGTAGGCTTTAAAGAGAACCAGTCACCTTTGAGCTTACTGAATTACCTAAACATTTAATCTTCAAGTGTTTTGCTTACCTATTAAATACTTATACAGTATGTATCCCCTATTTAAACAGGATGACTTTCAGAGTTAGGAATCAGTAGAGAGAGTCCCCCTGTGGTCTAAAAGATTCTACTCTGTCAACTGCACATAGGTCAATTACAGGGTCCGTGGTCCACAACAAGATTTTATTAGGCCAAACCAGTCCTGAGCTTTGTACCACGGCAAGCAAGGTTGCATTTTTTTTTTTCAAGCCTGCACTTAGGCAGAAAAAACTTGGAACGGCAATTCAGTCACCACCCTTTGAGGACCCTCTTTCCTTGGCTGCACTTTTCTCCTTGGCCGCACCTCCCTCCTAAGCTGCAGGTTTCTCCTGGACCAAATGCTCTTCCTTGCCTCTGGTCTCGACAGCTCCCCTAAGTTCTGCTGATGTATATTATATAATGGACAGGGATTGCTGACACTTTTAGACCCCTCACACACAGGACAGTCATATCATGATTATATCATAGTGTCTTGTGTGTGAGGGCACTTCAATTGTCAGGCATGCTGATCAAACACACAATCTTCCAGCTCTCGGGTGAACATAACAGTATCTGTTAAAGTAAAACATGGCAAGAAATGCAGAATACAGAAAATGTAATATCAGAAACAGATACAATATAGCCTGGACCCAAAGCAAGAAACTTCCAACTTTAGAAGTGACAAATACCATTTAGTATGCTTTTTGAAAATAAAAAACTTGTCACTGCTGGCAATCCAGAAAAAACAAACAAACGCCTTGTGATGTTTCAACCATTAAAGGAACATCCTACCTGAGCTGGCATCTATAACCGTCGATCCTACTCTGCGATCAGATACTGGACGAGGTGATCCAGGCATGCTAACTGGCTCAGACCGCACTGGTTGAATCCTGTAGCAATAACACACATTATTAAAACAAACATATTTATAAAGAAGAACCTCCTAAGGGCTACTTCACACCAGAACTGCGTATGTCTGCGCAGCTGCAATGCAATGTGTTTTGCCGCGATTTTACCACAATTGATGCTTTTTTTTGCATAAAGTGGGATATCAGATGTATTCCAGTGAGTTTGCATGCATTTTTGATGCAGCTAAAATAGGGCAAACAGTATTTTTTCTGACTGCACTGGTGTGAACACAGCACCAAAAATCCCATAGGAATGCATTGTGGATGCAGCTGCCAAACTGAAAGGACTGCATCACAACTGCATCTGTTGTGAACTAGCCCTAAAATTGCAGGATATCAAAATTCCTTATTTATACTCTCATAATCTGAGTTTTCCAGCACACTATGCCTTTTATGCGATGCTCTTCTGGTCCCAGCTATTACCCATTTCCTACAATTTACATTTTCCAAAAGCTTGAAATGTTTTCTGAGCCAGCAAACACAGGAATACGGTATTCTTTTGTGGCATATAATTATTAAACATATACAAAAAAAGTTAACCACTGTGCCACTTTGTACCACAGATCCTATGTAGCATGGCTATATATACCTAAATACGTAACTAAAATAAAAACAAGATTATTATTATATATTATAATAATAATTACATGAAATAATGGCGAAATACAGATCTCACAGGAACAAGGTTTGCTCAGGAAAGCAGCAAGGCTCCCTCTCTATAATGGACTCTCAGCTGGGCAAAGTGCCACATGGCATGCTTTCCTGTGTATGCACTGGTTGCTGGCACCCACAAAATAAGCTCCACCACTATGGTGATGTCAGAATCTGAAGCAGTTGCCCATGGCAACCAACCAGCTTCTCTCTTCAGTTTGTTCAGTTGAGTTTTGAAAATGAATGATAGAAGCTGACTGGCTGCTCCAGATTCTGTCTGCTAAAGTTTTGGTAAATTCGCCTCAGAGATTTAGTAATGGACAATACACATCTTCCATAGTCGTGTAATATATTAATTTCATAACGTAACACTTGCTAAAGCCACAATCATGTGTTTTGTAACAGGCAACAGTGCATATACAGTATAACAATTATGTTCTAAGACTACTTGTAAAAAAAAAAAAAACAACCCAAGACAGAGTACAAGGTCATTCTAGCAGTTTACTTTCACTCAAACCCTTTTGTATTCTTCTAGACTAAGCTGATTTGAACTGGTTGTCCAACCAGCGCAGACACATTTATTTTAGTAACTTATCAACCAAATCAAAATAGCTGTTGAATCAACATAATTAGGAAGTGGCAAGACACAGAAATTATAATATATGCTTGCTAAAATAATGTAGCTTAAACACTTCATGGTTGGGGAAGCAAATTACTATACTTTAAAATACCTCATATTCATAAACTGGGTAAATAAAACAAATTCCAAACTTTTAGGATTTTAGAGCTTATTAGTAAGGCAGTTTAAAAAATAACAGTGATTTGCAGTAGAAAAAAAAACACAGCAACCAGTTAGAGTGCATTTCATTGGTGTCACATTAGAGGTGACTGGCTGCTAAAGTGCAATTTATAAATTTACCACCTTTCCTCATTTTGTAGAGAATTAATACGGCTTTAATTGTGACTTTATGTAATTGGTCTACATCAGGGGTGCCCACAATTTTTCGTCTGAAGGTCTACTTTTCAAATGACGAGCTCAATGAGATCTACCAATGAAAAAACACCTTTATTTAAAAAAAAACAAGAACATTAAAATTGTTACTGGGACTACTGCCTCTCTCGCTCTCTCTCCTTGCTCTCTCCCCCGTGCTCTCCCTTCCCTTTCCTTATCTGCACTGCAGCAGCCTCCCCTCATGTGCGCTGTCCTGTCCTCCCACGGTGCTGGTGTGGCTGAATGTGGCCGACGCTGCAGAAAGGGAGAGATGTCCCACCCCTTCCCATCTGCAGCGTTTGACACATCCAGCCGGCTTAGCACCGCGGGAGGGAGCTTAGGTCAGTGAGCCGATCGCGATCCACCAATGTTTACTTTGCGATCACCTGGTAGATCGCAATCTACCTAATGGGCACCCCTGGTCTACAAGAATTATAACATAATATCTAATTGAAAAAACCAATAAATCAATTAACACCTTTTGCTGTAGAAGCCTAAATAAGCTCTGATTCCATCTGTTGCTTTCAAAAGTCACAATTTTATCGGAATAGATTTTATTAGACATGTAAGCCAGCAAAAAAATTGTTTGGTTTCGTTTCAGATGTTTCTTTATTTTGTGTTTGGGGATTCGGGTCTGAATGTCAATTTGTTTCGGCATTCGGATGAATCCAAATTTTTGTTAATTTCGGATGAGGTAAATGATCATTACGAATGAAAATTTGTTGCAGAAAAGTGACATTAAATGTTTACATAGCTTTAGGTCTGGTAGGAATGTTAGGGGGACCCCTGATGGAAAAATAAAAGGAAGCGTGTGGTTTTCCGACAATTAACACCACACCCTTTAGACCTTGTAGGAATTTAAAGGAGAACCTCAACACAAAAAAAAAAGTGCATCGCTCCCTAAAATCCCTTACCAGACCCTTAATCCAGGCAGCAGCCTGGCAGGGCAGGAAAGGGGGGGGGCACGAGTGAGCGCCCTCTCCCCTCCACCATACCAGGCAACATGCTATCGGCATTGGGCGTGTGCTTTTCCAAGGGGGAAAAACCCCTTGGTTATACTCACCCATCCACATTCTCTCATTGGCTCTTAACGGCAAGAGTCCAACCTGAATAACCTCCAGTGTCAGATGGTGTCAACAGCGGGGTCACAAGGGGGTGCGGGGGGTGACACCAAAATGACTATCATTTTGACATATCATGTCACCCCCTCTAAAAAGTCAGACACTCGGTTATGGACCAAAAGCCTGCCAGTCCCCTCCTCTCTCTGCCGGCGTTCATCAGCAAGATGGCCGCCGGCAGGCGTCAATTCGATGACCACGCATACACAATGACGTCACGGCAGGGTGTCACCCGTTCTCCGCTCCGGGTGACACCCTGGCCTCGGGACGCCCCTGGGTGTCAAAACCTACTCACGTAGATGTTACTGCCTCATGTAATAGTGTTGGGTCCAGGCATTCAGTGGTTCAGGCCAGCCAATGTCACATGTTCTCTATACCTGGAAACCTCACTATGTAAGAGCAACAGTACAAGGGGGTGGCACAGGAGTTTGGATGAGTGAAAGGCTGTCCTTTGCTCAGGAAGGAGCAGAAGGTGATGTACAGCCGAACCGACATGGTCAAAGAGCTGCCTGAGGTCCCCAGCAGGTCACAAGCTGGGGTCGAGCACAGAGATGCAGAGGCGAGGTACCAAATCAGTAAGCAGAAGCGGAGTCGGGGACACAAGCCAAGATCGTCTTTCAGGAAACCTGAGCTCAGAGTCAATGCACATTTAAAAAGGCAGACTGGTGTCAATGAGCACGCCTGTACGTGTGCACTCATGTATGCTCACACACATTCACACTAAAGCTAATTCCTATGTACACAAGTCAACGCACATGCAGGTTCATGTTTATGTGTATATTTGCATGCACAACCACCCGTCACAGCATGTTTGTCCATTATCTTGTACACAGGGCTGCAAGTACCTGGATGCACATGAGTTTGTGCCCTTGCTGCTTTCCCGACAAACACTGTGTTGTCCTTACAGAGCTAGATACATTTGGCTAAGAAAAACAGCCAACTATTTTCACTATTTGTGAACATGAAGTGGGTTTTGTATTGTTATTATTTTTTATTCTCATTAAGAATTTGGTATTTGTGATCATTATACTTAAACCTATCTTGATGTAATGTCCTAGAATACCTCCAACCTCCCTGAGGAAGCACATACAGTTGCGAAACGCGTCGGAGATTGGGCCCACAGTGGATCATACAACTATTACAGGAATCAGGACTCAAGGAGTCCATGTTATATTATATGAATTAAATTATGTACACATGTATGGGCACCAAAATGAGGTAGCTTGATTTCAATGTAACATTGTATCATGTCAATGACATTTTAATTGCAACCAAGTCTTTATGTATTAAATATATTTTTATACAAAACCATGTATGTTTAATGGACGTTTTGTATGGTTTGGACACTTTTAAAGCCCCGCTTTTCTTTATCCTTCTTGTATACAATTCTAATTGGGGGTGTGGTGCCTATCCCTAATGGTTCAATTCAATTTTCATGCTTTAAACTATTGGAAGATCCAAAAATGCACAGCTTTTAGAGATTTAGGGCTACATTTATAAAACATCACCAAGTGGATAGCATCCACACAGCACTAGGCCCCCTAGATGTTGTTGATTATAGCTGCGTGGAACTTTTATAAATGAAGCCCTTAAAATTACAGTTTATGTAAAACAATAGTACACACAAAATGTTTGGAACTTATTTCCATTATTAACACGGTTAATGATGATGAGCTAAAGATTCTGCTAAACTTCTCACCAGTTTTTCTTGGACTTTGCTCAGTTGTTTTCCTACTGAATATAACAAATCACATAAATGTATTTGATCAACAGATTGTATTTTTACCTGAGGCTATTTAGATCAAGGTCATCTGTGTCGAAATCCAGCAATGGTTGAGGGGTGTCACTTGGACCATGTGAGTGAAGCACTGATGAACTTGAGGAAATCACTGTCGTTTGTCCAGAGGGATGAATAGTTTTAAACTGAAACTGAGGTCCCATCCATAGACGTCTGTGGGGTCCAGTGTGAGTCACAATTTCTACCTGTAAAAGAAAAAAAAACCCAAAGAAGCACAAAGCATTTCCATTGATGTGTAATGTGACAGGATACTCATAACTAAAGGCATCCAATAACTGTGTCATATCTGAACAATCCACAACAAGGATTTCTCATAATGTGCATGTTTAGGAGAAGTCACTTATGCATAAAACAGATCCCTGATATTTCCCTTTTAAAATAGAAAAAAAGATTCAAAACAGAGTCCTGAAGCTCTTTTTTTTGCAGCCCCAGCACTCAATGAACAGGAAGTTCTCAACACAGAGTGTTCTTATTCATTCACAATCTGGAGAAAGTAAATATTTACCATAAACCCAGTAGTGAATGGACAGGAAGCCTCTGAACTGAGCTGCTTCCTGTTCGTTCATAAAGTAAGCAGACAGTAAATATTTACTATGTCCACAACCGTAATGAACAGGAAGTGATGTATAGAACTTGAGACCAAGTGAGGTCTGATATGATTGGGTGAATGATAGGAGAATCAGGGTAAGTAATGAAGAAAACATCTTGGCATCAGAGTCAACAGAGAAAATGGGACAATAGTTATGAGCCTTAAAGATTAGTCCTGTCACAAGGCTACAGTATGTAGTCAATGTCCACCTTCCCATTGTGTCTTATTGCACTGACTGGCTCTAAATGAGATTGCATTTTTGAGTTCTACACGCTTATAATTTTATAACTCAACACATTCTGCTACTACATAAAGTCATGTTGGTCAGAAACAGAAAATCCTGCTGCACAGTTTTAAGCCCCTGAGATTCAGCTTGGTTTATTTTACATTTAGATCTCCATTTTTTTTCTATTACACTGACACAGCTGAGCAAATATTTGGAAACTTGTAAGGAACTTAATGATTTTTATTAATATGAAAGAAATTCATAAATATAACACCACATGTTAATAAATATTATTTTAGAAAGTAAACAGTATTGTGGTTTGTGCAACTTATGGTTTTATATTGCAACAGTGCAAACACACGTTTCCTAAAAACACTATTATAAAACAGCTTGGCGGAACAATTTTACTATAAAGACTATGTAACATATTTCCTTCCTTTTCCTCCATACTCCAATGAAATATATACTGTATATATGACCTTCAAAATGGTAGACCAACATTTAATTCTCAGGGTTGAATTCCAGGTGTATGGTAGGGTGAATGAGTTGGGGTGCCAGCCATATCAGTCTAATAACTCTGTAATATCAGTCACAATTTAGATCTATGACTGAATTAAGTCACAGTATTTCCTTAGGTTGCAATGAATCATTCTCTCTTTGGACAATCTTGCCCCTTTGATAGCAGCCACAGGTGGCTCAATTTGTGAGCAGTGAATCATTCTTGCAGGATCCAGTGGCAACAGCTTCCACTCAGCTCTCCCTAGAAACCCTTCACTACAGAAGATTCCTTTACAGGTGCACTATCCAGACAGCCATCTTCCTTCTCAGTTCCCTCTTTATAATATTAATAATAATAAATAATAATAATTTAGAGCCCAATAGCAAAACAGAACACTCTGGAAGGTTGCTCCAAACATTTACTGCCTTCCCTCAGCTCACACCACGGAATAAAACCCTCAAAAATTGGCTGGGGTAGACAAATATTGAAAACCGGTCCTTCCCACACTACTGGAGACACCTCAAAAAGAAATAGGCAGAAGCAATCAATATCCTGAGCTTAGGAAAACCCTGCAGAGCACAGAAAATGAAAACAAAGCTCAGCTTGGGGCTGGCAACAGCAAACACAAAAAACTAATTACGAATACTCCAGCTTAAGACAGGGTCCCTGCATATACATTATTTATGACCTTGTTTTACAGACCCAACCCTAAACTGATATGTTAGCAATGTTATTGACCACTATGTTTTTGGCAGTTTGTTCACCATACTGGTGCAGCGCCCAGAACAACATCAGATGGAAAAGAAAATTCTATTACCTCTGTACACTAGCCAATGTTTATGTACATAACAATAAACGTTATTGGGAGTATTAAAAAAATGTTTCCAGAGCTGTTCGGTCTGTGATCATCTGACTTTAACATTCGTACTCCATTATGGCCACTAGATAGAGTCAAGGAGCATAGGATATTCCATTTAGTGGCATAATGCAGTGTAAATGTAAATATCAGTTTATTTTTATTTTTATGAAAACATGTCAAGTGAAACTGAGGAGCCTGAAGGGTGTCACTTAAGCCCAGTAATACCTTCAAACACACAGTTTTTCTGTGGCAAATTGGCAGAGTATGCTTGTCTGAAACACATTATTATTTGTTAACCACATGACCTGTTCATAACTGCTCATGATATCAGGAGTGCAAATGCCAACAAGGCATTTGACTACCCAGATAATATATTATTTATCACAATGCCTAGGAAAGAATCAATTCAACAAAACTGTAAAAATGTTAGCAACTGAAAAATACGATGTCTAATTGACAGTTGTAGCTATATCACAGCGAACAGTCCACAATAATTGCTAATATCCATGACTTCTAATAATGCATGTTTCTTTATGTCAACACCTGACACCTGCATTAGTACATACCCTTATTTCACAAGTGTCTGTGCAAACACTTGTTTCTCTCCAGTTATGCATTATTCCCTTAGATCCCAGCATCTCCAGGCAAAAATTTGGAATATGCTGCTAGATTTATGAGCCTTGAAGGCTCTGAGCATACAGAATGCTCTCTTCCACTACCTTTTGTTTCTCACCATTCCTTGGTTTGCCCAAAGAGATTTCAGCTTCTTTCATAGCCGTACCTCTGAAGCAGTGCAAATTAGGCCACAGATAAAGCATCCTGTATATTTTAAGCTCAGAACCATCAGTGCCACAGAGCCGAGAGGTAAACAGATGCCTTTGCAGTTTAATCGAGGCTATGGCCAGATGTTCCTATTCACTCTCCTGTTGTGTGCAGGACAAACATATTGTATCTACTTCACACTGACAACACACATTACCCACTATTCTAATTGAAAAGTTGAAGTGAAGGGCAGGCTTTCTCAATGCATTCTGTTACCCTTGATGACATTCCTATAATGCTAGAAAGAAAGCTAAAAACAAGTATAGTGGAAAAAAATGAATAGTGCTGGCAAGTATAAAACTTTTCAATTCGCCCATTGGAAGTTGCAGCCCTTTTCAGTTGGCACTTTCTGTGTGTTTATTCACTCGTGTTCTGTGGTCAGATTAGTCTAGCTGGCTGTCAACTAAGTAATGTATATAATGTGCTGGGCCGAGCAGAGGTGGCAGAAAGAGAGGATTAAGCTATGTGAGGAAAGGGAGGCAGGGTATAAATGATTTGGTTGCATTTCTATATTTTTTTTTTAGTAAATCATACATTGAAAGCAGAATTGCAGATACAGCAAAGAATATTGCTATTTTTTACTTCAAGGAGTGCCTGAAACTAAAGAATGAGTCTCTTGTCCATAAACAGTTTTATTCCAGCGCAATTTTCCTAGTGCAGTGAAGGTTCAAAGAATTGATGGCATCCCTTGACTGGTTTTAACATCCCAAATTTGACCACTTATTCAGTTAAGGTCCAGTCTAGCAGACAGGCAGGCCCGAGGATCAGGTGATTATTTTTGTCCTTAGACCAAAATGAGCACTTAACCCCTGCAGTGCGGCGGTAGTCCTTTTTTAATTAAAAGAGAACTATGGGGTAAGTGTTTTTCCCCATAGTTCTCTTAAGGGTCACGGGAGGACATATATTAGCGTCCTCCCGTGACCCAAAGCTTGGTAAATTGCGAGCTATAGCTTGTGGTATACTGAGCCCGCCACAGCTGGGACGGATCCCGACATTACTATTGAGATCCACCCAGCTGCGTGACAGCTGGCTCTGCCTATCTAGAGGCAGAACCAGCTGTACCCGCTCCCTCCCCGTCCATTTCTCCAGTCAGGAGGGGAGAGGAAGAATCCCTGTCAGCCCGTGACTGACAGTCACGGCTCTCTGCAGGGAGATGATTGAGAAGTGAGAGAGCGACGGTATGTGTTCGCTCACTTCCCGATCTATTGAGCCGACATGTAACAGTTTCTTTGTCACTCACCTTATAGTTCTCCTTTAATGCAATAATGCAAGATATTCTTGAAACTCTTTAAATTAGAACTCCAGCTAAAATGGTGTTTTAGAGGTTTTGGTTTAAGTAACAATCTGTATCCAATGTTATTGCTGTCCCCATTGGGGGCTACTTATTTCCTATTTTGATTATGGAGGTCAAGAAGATGGCAAATCTCTCCAATGGGTAACATGCATCAAACCTGTTATTTTTTACCAACAGTCCACAGAGTAATGTTAAGACATACAAAAATACATTTTAAGAATAATTCAATGTATAATGTGTTGCATGCCATTTATAATTCAGCCTTTATTGAGACTGTTAGCGTGGGGGTGTTGTTAAATATCTGTTAGGCTTATATTAATATCCATATTTATGTTGAGGGGATTCCATTCAATTCCTGTCCTGATGATAGTGGTCAACAGGACAGGAAATTAAGGAAAATCTCTCCAACAACATTAAGTACCTTAAAGAGGTTTTAATCCATAGCCAGAACTTTTTTTTTAAATGTCTCAAGCATTAGCTTATGGATAATGCACCAAGAGCAATAGGCTTGTGTTCAAAATGGATGTGGGGAGTGGGGTGTTAAAAAATGGTCCTGGACATTTCTTTGTCCACACCAAAATTGTATTATCTGTTAAGTTGGACTTAGCCTTTAAAATTATGGTGATTTCATGTAGCACAGGTATTGTATTGCTCAAATATGCATGCTTATATAATATATACTGAAGAGAACAAAGGAAAAAAAATATCTTTAAAAAAAATCTTGATATATTGGGAAGCTTCTGTGAAGGTAAATAAAATGTAAAATGTCTTCAGCCATACCTAATTCATAGTCTGATTTTAGACGCCTGAGGATGTTGTCTGAGAACTACTGCCATCAATTTGTTTTATTAAAAATTACAATAACTCTCTGTATACAGCACTTTGCCTGTAATAAAGTGACATGTTATGATAAACTTTTGAGGCTTGAAGTTCTTAACATTCTACTGTGAGAAGGACATTAGGTCAGTCTAGCTTCTTGGTTTCTTTTTTACATTTTGTTTTTCCCCTGTCTGAGAACACAATTACAGCCAACATATTTGCTGCAGCGATGCAGGATTCTCAGGCCTTTCTGTAGGAAACCCTTGAAGAAAATATAATTAAGTGTTCTTTGGGTAAAGACTACATTTCCTCCTACATGCTGCCTACAGCAATGGCTAAGTGTATCTTGTTCACCCCATATAGACAGTCCATTAGAATGTGCAAGTGGCTGTTCCCATAGAAAAACGGAAACTAGCATTATGTGCTGCACTGTACTCAGGTGTTTACTTTAGCAAAAGCATTTCCTTATTGTTTTACAAAACAAGGAACATTTTATGCTCAATACCTCCAGCTCCTCTAGATGCTATTTGCAACACACGCCTGCCAATATTATCCCTTTATGCTCAAAGAAGCATAAGTACAAAATCTCCCTATGTTCTAGAACATCTTGTCATATTAATCAATACCAGAGAGGATGTTTTAGAAGAGCAGCCTATGAAGCTATACGATAAAAGTTTCAATGTGAGATCACAGAGGAGTTACTTTGTACTGTATGTGCAGGAGCAAAAAAAAAAGGTTTAAAAAAAAATGTATATGTCCTTGATACTCTCATTCGCCTATGCCCATGTGTATGTCCTTGATGCACTCATTCGCTTATGTCATTAGGGGATCGATTTACCAATGAGCCAGCTACATACCAAAAAGTTACTGGTGTAATACAGAGATGGGTCACTGTCAAGCTTTGGACATAAATCATGTGTAGCTCAAAGGCATGATAAACCTATACTTTTTGACCTAAAAGTAATCTCCTGAGGTCTTGCAGCCACAGCAAGTATTCTGAACTAGTATTGGGGCTTTGCAGAGACCCCAGGACTAGGTGCATACGTGAGGTTCTATTTACTGCAGCCTCTACTTTAAGGCAATATGCATTAGTATAAATATTAACATAGCGTTATTACATAGTGCCTTATGATCAGTGTGCCATTTTCCCTTCTTTCATACTGGATTAAAGGTGATGATAGATATTGGAGTAAGGGGGGTGAATGACAGCATACTTGGAAACAGAAAATCCCAAAGGAAGGTTATGATTACCTCTATGTCCATATATGTCCCAAATGCTCCTATTGTCTGACCCTATGTTGTAATACAACAAGATAGGGTCAAACTAAGTTCAGGGCTAGGGTAGGTAAGGATTGGGGTTAAATGTGCTGCTTCTTATGTTAGTTAAGACATATGTATAACTGTAATCATACCTCTTTGTAAAAAACAAATGTATCCTATGTTTGGGCATAAGGTATGCATATTTCTTTTTTTTCAAATGGTAATTATTTTATACTGAAGAAATTACCAGTTTAAAGGACGTATATAGAGGGTATTTAATAATGTTTTGTTTTAAATTTATATACCTAGATATGAGGATCACAAAAAAAGTTTCTTTTAAGCAGTTTGTCTGATTTTGATACTACATAAAATGGTGCAAGCAAATAAAAGCAAAACTAAAATTCACATTTAATAAAGAAAAAATGCATTAATACAATAATAGTGGTGACAGTACAGATTGTTTTGAGAGTTCAGAGATGGGTAAGAAAGCACCATTAAAATTTTAAGCCTAAGGTACTTTTTTCCAAACTAAGCATGCTATCACAAAATTATAGAATTTTTTGGAACCTAGATAATTTGGCAATTACTGTGTAATGTATCAAGTATAGTGTATGAAAGGTCCATCTGAAATACGGACCAAATGTGGCTGGGGTATAACCCCCCACCACTCCCAGTATGCCTCAGTTATGCAACAAACAATGCTGAGAGCAATAGCATAAACAGAGGGGTGGGACCTGTGTCTCTGAATTAACCTAAAGGATTTTCCGTTGAGTAAAAAAAAATTATTAAAAAAAATGTAATTCAGGAACACAGGATTCATTGACATTTGGGACATCCAAAAGCAATCTAACTGAGGGGTGGGCAACACATCAAAATAAAATGCTAACAAGCCCAACTACACACAATCTGGGGACCACTTGCAGCTCAAACAGACATCTGAAGGAACTTATTATCAAAGCTGGCATCAGACTAATTCCTGAAAATCCATCTGGTAAAACATAGAGAATGTGAGAACAGAAGACCAGGTGGCAGCTTTCAAAACAGCTTTCAGATGCCGAAAAGCCCAGGAAGCACTAACAGATCGAGTACAGCATTCCTTGACAGAAAGGGGGGAACCCAATCCTTAAGACCGAGGAATGAAGGAATGAGAAGCTGGTTCTCCTTTCAGGGGAAAACAAGGGATGGTTAGTCTTTCTAACGGAGGTAGAGGCTACAAAGTAGACATGTACCGCTTAAACTACATCCAAATGATTAAGGTAGCTCTCCTCTTGATGTACTGGAACCAGAGGGATGGAAGCACAAGGTCACAATCTGGATAAGGCTCGGAGTCCAGTAGCTGAAACAGCAGGCAAAGTCATAGTCAAACAGGTCGGGTTCGGTACACAAGCAGACGGTAGTAGTATAGGAGCAGGCAGAAGTGTAGTCAGAGATCAAGCTCAGGTCGGTAGCCGAAAGGTATCTGGTATGAAACGGAAAACAATGAGAGTAGTCTGTGAATCAGCAGCCAAAGGTCAGTACACGGGTAGCAGTATGAGCGGATTGTATCACAGAAGGAGCAGGAAGCAAGATATTGGCAGGGGCAGAATAATCTGGCAAACAGGAAGTGCAGAGGCAAGGCTTAAATAGGAAGTTCAAGGGAGGAGCAAGGAGTTCAGCAGAAACTAGGTTTAACTGAGGATTTCACAGGAGATCAGGCAGGGAGCTATCCAAGGTTCTAAGGTGGCTCAGCAGGTAGAACCACTGCCAGCTACAGCAGAGGCCCTGGGTTCAGAGCCGGTTCCTGACACACAATGTCGTGCTTGAGGTAAAAGGCCAAAAACCACCTTGAGAAAGAAGGAATCTTTAGGCCCTAATAATGCCCTGTCCTTGTTTAAGAATAGAAAAAGTGTCTTACAGAAGCCACAATGTTTGGAAATAGCATGTGCATTGGACAAGTTTTAGTGGTCTTAGGGTCTCTCAGGGACGCTGGAATGGTAGTAACACCAGTAGAAGCTATAGCTGCCTCAAATAACCCGGTCACTGTAGGAGGCAGAAAGGACCATCCGAGAAGAAATCAAGTATCTGCAATAAGGAGCAGTAGCAGAAGGGTGCTACCTCATGCTGAATGACACCTTGTGATTCAGCACTCAATTCCTCAATGTTTTAGCCCTTTCTGTAGAAATCAATGGAAGAAAAGAGTTTAATAATGGTGCCCAATAGTTGTAATAAACAAAGTAGCTCCTGGTGCTAAACCTACAGAAACTTCTTATAAATGAGTCTTCAAAGACTGGGTCACACAAGAAGCTGTACTACAACTCTGGTCCTGAAAATAAAACCCTGTGGCTAACTAATACAGTATACAAAGGTCTGGAAAGTGCCACAAGCAGAGCCCAGTACCCGAAGATCACATTCCAGTCAGGCCCCACAATCCTTCAGTCCAGTGAGGTTTGGGTACGGCCTCCAAAGCTATCGCTGAGATTACAGCAATTTGGTTAACTGCATAAAGAGTTTAGCAAGTAGCATGCAACAAAGTCTTGATCGAAGAAAACATAATCTTGAGAAAAAGAAGTAGTAAAAACTGTTAAACTTTCCACAGTAAAAAAAAAAACACCATCCTTCTAAGACACTAGAAAAAAAAAATTAGGTATACTGGGAGTGGGAGGGGTTATACCAAGGCGGTCACTGTTTTTTTGTTCGCCTATGTCCATCCTGACATTATAACCAAAATATCTCAAAATTGCCATGTTCCTCACTAAACGAAAATAAATCTTGTTTTGTATTTTAAACTGAGGTGTTTATACAGACTACCTACCTACCCCATCAAAAGAAACATGAGCAATGGAATATCTTGCCCCAGCAGGGCAAACTGCTTATTTGTGAAAAGCGACCCTCAGATCAGACATTGATTTCACATGTGATTTACATATATTGTAGGCTTATGAAAATAGGACAATACAATTCAATGAATTACCTGTGAAAGCCATTCTTCGTCCTCCTGGCCACTATGGTCTGAGGCAAGGCTGTCATAAGAACCATGCCTTTGGATGGGACCAGGACTTCCAGGAGGAACCACTGAAAAACAGAGTTGAAAAATACATTATTAGAACCATACTGTAGTCACAAAGAAAAAGGTCAAGTCATTTAAGCTGAACTCCAGACACATTTTTGTTAAAAAAATACCTTTACATTGAGCCCCCCTCCGCACTGCAAGGTTTAACTGCTCGGTAAATCTAGGGGTAAAGAAATAAACTGTAATACCCTATTCCTCACTCTGGCAGTTCACTCCTCTATAATTTTCTGCAGACAGCCTGTAGTGGGTGGACCTGCTGGATTCCACCCATATCTTTGCTCTTTTCATTGGCTATATGCAACATCCTGGTGTGGTGTTTTGCCAAGTCAGCATTCTACTAAATACCTAAAAACAACACACATATTTAACAGACCAAGGAAGACTTTCTAGATTTTATTATGTTGGATGCTATTACTTATTATCCGGGCCTCAGTTACCAGCCTGCATAATCTCACCCCCTTCCCATCAAAGAATCTTTTAAGTTCTTGTATTTGGCTGTCATCAGACCTACTACTAGATTTCTGCATAAAAATGATGCTATAGCTGCAGGTGCTAATTTCACTCTGCATGATACAAATGGCAAGCCTTGGGGGCTCTACTTTACGACATTCCAGGATATCCAAAATGGCAGCATCTGATAAACAACACTTGCAAGTTTGAAGAAACTTAGAGCAAAGATTATACTGGAATATATAGATATGCTTCTGTTATCCATTAGTATTAGATTGCAGTATTTATTGAAGTAGTTCATGCTCCACTTAAAGGAACTCATGGAATTTTTTTAAACCTTGCTGTGGGGCTACCCCCACATGGCAAAGGTTAGCTGCTCATTTGTGTCTATGTTAAAAAACAAATATATACTCACCCAAAGCTCCGAGCCAAGCATCTTCCTAGACCTGTCCCTGGAATGTCTCTTCCCCTCCTCTGCAGCGGTTTAAGGACCAGTAAATCATCACATCTATACACTGTGTATAGACATGAGGATGCTGAGGGACATTTCAATGTGCTGCAGAGAAGGGGATAGGCTGGAGAGACCACCATGACAGATGGCCAGCTCTGAGCTTTGGGTGAGTATATATGTGTTATTTTAACTCCTAGGCACAAAGGAGCACTTAACCCTTGCAGTGTGGCGGTAGCCCAACTGCAAAGGTTAATTTTAAAAAATCCTAGAGTTCTTCTTTAATGAGAGAACTAACTGTATTTGACATTCTACACATAGTACACACATGACAAAGGATATCCAGAGCATCATGGATTTTCTAATTAGAACATACAACAAAAGTTGTTTATGTTTAGAGACACTAAGGATTATTTTCTAAAGCAGTTGGGGATCGTCACGAGGGAGAAGGAGGAGAGTCAATACTCTGACTCATTCTTTTGTTTGAGTAAATTCAAGCTGAGCTCTGTAAAGGCCTATAGTTCTATTTGGTGGCAGGAAATGAATACTATTCAGATGCAAAATTTCTTATTAACCTGACTATTGGTGGCAGGACATGAATATCAAAAATGAATCTAGAAATGTTCTTATTAACCTGACTAAACAGTATGTGTGTGAGTGTAATATATACTGTGTGTGTATATGTGTACATGTGTGTGTGTGTATCTATGTATGTGTATGTGCGTGCTGCGTATATATATATATATATA